TTACCTGACTATCAATAGCATGGGGCGGGGCACGAGTATCTATTTTTGACCCTTTGCTCTGTCCCGCCTCATTATATCTCAATTTCTAACAATATCTCTTCATGCGTAAAATTTTGCTTGTTATTTTTTTTTAATAATATGTAAGAGTAGATCAACCCGTCGTGCAGTGCGGATCCAGGGGGTGGCCACCCCAAGCCCCGGCCCAACCATCGTCTGGATCCGGTGTTAATATAGTTCTTACTAATTTTTTGATTTTAGGCATTCGGCCTAGTGTTATTTTACAATAAGATTGTGTATAACTAGAAAAATGATTCAGATGAACATATTCAAATCACTCCTCTATATTTAGCCTACAAGTTCTAGCCCTAAAGATTATTCTTCTAAAAAAAATAACGAAACCTAAAAGTCTAAAACGTAAAAGATGCAAAGAAATATGAGGTTTGTTCCCTTGAAAATTTACTAGAGCAGCTGGTGGATATAGGAATGGATACACAATGCAAATTGATTAGTCGATTGATTTGTCTAGTGTTGATGCTACTCGTTTCAACAGCTACTACGGAGAGAACATTTTCAACAATGAAACATGTGAGAACTAATTTGTGCAACAAAATGAGTGATGAATTTCTCGCTGATTGCTCAAGTATTTTATTTGAAACGATGTATTCTATTGGTATGAATGTGGACTGCATTATTAATGCATTCGCTAAATTAAAATATCGTAATATACAATTGACATTGTAAAAAAATTAATTTTTTTTACTGTTCTAATTTTCAAATGAAATGCGGGCTAGTACTTTTCTGTGTTCTGGATTCGCCGCTGCCGTCGTGTAAAGTATACACTCAAATATTACTCATCCTGACCTAATCTTTGTATGAAACTATTATGGATAACCGTTTGCTATCACTAATTGTGGTGGTATTTTGAGTCTTGTACACGCCGCAGTTATACGACTTTGAATCACATAACTGGAAGACATAATTTTATGGATAGTCAAACCGAAGTGGTCAAAACAAAATTTGATGAACCGGTGATTTGTCCACAAAGCGCAACGAAATCCTAGAAAAATAAAACCGACCAAGAAAATGTCACTGCTAATATCAAGTATTGTCTATCATAGTTAGTAAAATACGATACGGGAAAGTTACGTATAAAATACGTACGGGTATTATATTTTATCTCTAAGCTAAAGTTACGTATAATAGTACGTTAATAGGCATTAATATATAAAATTGAATTATTTTAAAAATAAATAAAATATGAATAATACTAAAGTTAACAATTTAATTCATAAAATACGGATAATAAACGTGTTATACGAGTTTTATATGTGTTTAGTACGAGAGCCATCAAATGAACGGGGAAAAATAAAACAGCTTGGCAATAATACGGATACGGAAGTTTTAAACGGATAAACTATGTGCGGGTACATATACGTGTATTAAATGGAGTATTTACTAACTATGTTGTCTATTAAATAGTTGAATGGTTTGGCGGCCGGGTTGCATTGCATCCCTTTCAAAAGATAGATGGAACCGGGGCTAGGGGTGTGAACTGTTTCGTCTAGTTCAGATCGGATCAAATTCATCAAATCAAATCAAACTCATGAGGTAAATAACTATCATCTTAAATATATCATTATAAAAAAATTTAAACCTTAATTATGCAAATTACAATTCGGTACCTAAACTTAATGGATTTTTAGATTTATAACCTAAATTTATTTTTTTGGCATATAACTCCTCAAAATATTGACGGAACATTACATTTTAGTAACTAAAATTTTTGCGTATTACATTTTGGTACCTAAATTTTTGAAGTTCTACAAATAGGTCTAATTTTTGTATGTTTAATTAAAGCACTCTTGAATAAATGAGTATCCAAAACCAACTCATACACATTTAGATTATGGAAGTAAATATCCATACCCTACCCAAACTCATCTACAAACTCGCAAATCCATATATACGTCATCCATACCCTACCCATAATCAATGGGTCTACTTGGGTTTAGATAAATATCATTTATTAGAAAAAAATTTCAAATTTTTTTAAATTGGATGTTGACCGCCATATATCACTTCTCAGTCAATATCATATTGTTAAGTCAATATTATTAACAAAACTGTTAACAAAATATTAATTTTAGACTAATAATACTAACAAAACACCATAACGGGCCACATAAT